ACACACACACACACACACACACACACACACACACACACACACACACATACACACACACACACACACACACACGAACACACGAAAACACGCTACGTGGTAAAAAGCCATTATAAACTTCAATGAAACACAAATTTATATAAACAGTTTGAATCGTAGTGTAAAAATTTTATTCAAAATCAACAAACAAAACGATCATGTAATAGGTTATTATATTTTTATGTACGAGTTAGGTTTTTATTTTCTAGGAATATCCACACAGAACGTGTCATTCTGCGTGCCATGGACGAGCTACTGGATGCGATTATCCTGAATTTCACCACTGTGCACCTCATTACTTACCTCCGCCTCCTCCACCACCGCCATCTACATCCAGGTTAGTTGTAATACACTACTTACTATATTTTCTGCTGGGATTGAAAAAATGTAATGAAAAAGATTCAACGCTAAGTACTATTCAATTATTAAACAGTAAGACTGCGGGAAATAACAAATAGCACATAATATTATTAGGTCAATCAAGTAGTCTATCCATAATAATTAGATTAACGTACACCTATTGAACAATCAGAAACTTTTGAAAAAAAATTAAAGAAAAAAAGGATTTTCGATTCAGTTTTTACGATAAAGATTTGCATATACATATTATCTATCCAGTTTCCGACTGATGTTTTATTAGTGATGCGATCGAACTTCAGTCACTGATAAAATATTTTGTCGATTAAAATGGTAGAATATAAAAGTTCTACAGAGCAGTATTAAAGCACACATACATCACTTCGAGTAGTATCTAGTAATTGACCAGATATATTAATCCTCCTTATAATTATCTTTATTGGAGTCAAAAGGAAAAATACTTCATATCTGAATATATATAATTATTGTATAAATAAATATTAAAAAAATTCTTTTAAATACGATAGTCAAATTTCGGTCACTGAAACCTGTGGACAACTCCATTTAATCTACTACACTATATATTTTAATGGTACTATGGCACTTAACAACAATCTACAAATTATACCAATTTAAATATTTTAATGATTTAATTAACACAAACATTTAACGATATTTGTACATTATTTTTAATTTGATACATTTTTACTATGTACACATTTTTCAAATAGGAATGTTTAATTTAAATGTCTGAATTTAAATATACATTTATGCATACTAATAACATTGCAAATGCGTACTTTGAAACTAGAAAAACTATTACCGATTTTAATATTTCCAATGGAAATTTTGGATTTTTATGGAAATTTTCCATGTATATTTTTAAATTAGTCAACTATTTATTTATAGAAAACATACTTTATATGAAAGAAAAATCCTTCAATAGCACAGTATAATAGAGTTATAATCACTATTATCAAATTCAAAACACATCTCAATTTCTGTAAAATATAAATATAATTGTTAAAAATAATTTTTTTCTGCACATTACTTAAACTTTAATACATCTAAAATAAAATAGAATATTAAATTCATAAAAAAATACATTTATAATATGATTTTAACTATCTATAAGTTCCTTAGTATTTTGTCTCAAAAAAATACAAGAAAAATTATAGTTAAAATATATTTCATAATTAAATTTCTAATTATTAAATATACTATAAATTTAGCTAAATAAAAAAAAATGAAGAAAAAAGTAAAAATGAAAATTCTACGTGGACAGTTGTACATACCACACGACTAGAAAGATAACAACAAAAAAAAGAGAGTAATAAAATGCTTTAACAATTTTAATATTAGATGTTTTAACTACTTTTTTCTTAATTCAAAATTGAAATTTTTTTTTAAAATAATTTAAAGTTAAAATTTGAAAATATATTTTTTTCTCTCTTCCAAAGACTTAAGAAAATGGCTTTTGGAAAAAAACTTTAATACTACTAAACAATGGACATCTTAATGAAAGATATGTCATAATGTCACAACTTAATCATAATTACTTAAAGTATACTTTAGTAAGACTTTCTGATACAATAATAATTATTTTCTTTTATTTTAATATTTTGTTTTAGCCAGGATTATTGAATTCTTAATACACTAGACGAGTAAATTGTAGTGTCTACAATAATAAATTATTAAAAAATATAAAAAAAAAACAATTATTCATAATAAATTGTTAGATCTATAAATAGCTTGACTTCGCTATTAATTAGATACTAAAATATAAATTATAAGTTTTGAAAACATAAAAATGTAAAATAAATACCAATAAGGATCTTAATTGTACAATAAAAATGTTGACAAATATCATTATAAGGAGTGATAACATTTTATGTATTTATAGATTATTTTCTTTGTATTCACAGTAGTTTTACTTAATAAATTTCTAATGTTTTATCAAAGATATATGTGAGATTTTACTAGTATATTTATATTTATATTTTACAAAATTGTATTTTTACTGTTACTAAAATAATATACATAAAACAAAATATTCATATGCTTATTTTGAGCTTTATTTGTGATCCAATTGAGTTTGAAAAATTAAATAATTAAATTTTAATACTAGCGATACAATTCAAATAATTGTATACAGTGTCTTACACATAAAAAAATATAACTCGATTAATTATTAGCTCAGTCGCAGTACTAAGTGGCTAAAAATAAATCTTAGTTATCAAACACTACTGTAATTAATAACATTTCCCTTAGGACAGACACACTTAATATAATGTATATATATATATATATTCAATATCTCGGTCATTATTTAGCCGTTTACATTTGGTTATAACTGTAGCACAAGTTTTTCCCAATGTTTTTATTCTCAAACAACTTACTATGCCACAGCTAACTTGGTAGGAGAGTAGACATTACAATACTTTCCCATTATTATAACATAAGGCATAAAATGCTCTCACCATGCCACTTTTATAACAAATTAATCACGTAGGTACTAACCATAGGTTTTGATCAATACTACCAAAGAAAATAAAATAAAAGTACATTACATATTGACAAGTAACCATGAAAACATTGCCATTCGACTTTGCCGTCCAGTAACTCGATAACTTTTGACCGGGTTTGAACAATTCTTTAAAAACATAATATGTTATGCATATATTATATGCATTACTATTCCTCTTAACGGCTGAGGTAGGTCACAAAGTATTGAGAAGATAATAGCCACAAAAGTTGGCTTAACGTGATAATATAAGGTGTATTTAAAATATTTGGAAGGAATGGAACTTTTAAACGTTTGTGAAAATAGTATAAGTACCACAACATACACTACGTAATCATTATAATTAACGTAATCATTAAATATAAGAACAACCGATGAAAATGAATCATATACCTACAATATATAAATATACTTCTGAAAACTAACTACAAACAATTAAGTGATGATGTATATTGTAGTACTAATTTTAATTTATATAATTATGAAGGTATTGCGTTAATTATGTATATAAATTTAAAACCGTATATTGTATAGCGAACCCTATATTCATATTATCACGAATGAAAATATATAATCATATATGAATTGTATAATTGTTCAATATACTTCAAATTTTGAAAACTAATTTTCCAAAATTAAAATTCAAAATCTAATTATTAAAAAGATATACAAAAAAATATAATATCTTATAGAGATCAACTACTAATGGTAAAATTAAACATATATTATATAAATATTATACATATATATATTTATGAAGCTCAAATTCTCTATACTATAATTGTGTATTATTATCACAAATAAAATAAGTTTATAAAAAGCTAATAAAAAAAATAAATAAAAAAATAAAAAACAAGTTTATGTTAAACCAAATTATTTAACTATGAAATTTAACATATACTATTTATAACTGACCATATATGCTTATATTTTTATAAATCAAACAGGTATTACTTTTATACAAATCATGATATTATGATTAATTTTAGTAAATTTTCTTACTTTTAATGTAATTATTATACAAGTTATTTAATTAAAAAAATAATCATCAATCATTTTTGATTGGCCAAAAATATTTTTATTTTAGTTAAATTTGATTACATAGTTTTATTCTATTTAATTTCAACTATCATGATACTTAAACCTTAGTGGATATATATAACTCCGTAGTACCGTAGTATATATTTTACTTATATTAGCTAAGTGGCAAATTCATGTACTCTCCAATACATACATTGATTCTCGGATATTTAGTAAGCTCTAAAATTTTCCAAGTTTACATGCTTATGAACAGTTTGCTATTGAACTGTTAACATGTTTAGATAATATCACATGTATTATTATATAGATAAATTACTGGGTATTATTTTGTAATGTATCATAAATATCATAATTTTAAACTTATAATAAAATATTCTGTTTTCAGAATGAGACACGTTAGTTTTGCCAGGTCACACACGGTAACGTCATTTGACAATGTCTCTTTAAAATCAGCTAATAGCAGCAAATCTTTAGAAAGATTAATTGATGGAAGAAAAACACCAGAACCTGTCTGTCCAGTCGAATCCCCAAAAGTTATCGTATTAGGTATTATTTTATGTCAACGTGATCATTGTTGAAAATTTAACCCTATTAATATTATTTATGTAATCCAATTAATCATTTTCTATGTGTGTCTTACAGAAAAAGTAAAACGAGCTCAAAAGGTTCAAGCTACCCAAACGGATGGAGTAAAATCTATTAGTCCAGGAACACCACATAAAACTAAATTAGTTTCGCAGAAAACGTCCTCGAAAAAAAACCCTCAACCACACGAATCTCCAAAATCAGTTGTCAGGTGAAATATATACATAGCATTATGTATATTTTAGTCTTCACCAATTTTTCGTTCTATCTTTTTTTAATAAAATGTTTACTACTCTTTTCAAAATATTACCATATACCAACAGTGAAGCTCACGTTATGGGTCAAAGCGGTTGATTCCCCAAAAAAATTAAGTGGGGATGGTTGATGACTATTTTTATAGGCCTTATGGCTGGTATTAGTAAATATTATAATTTATAACATTTTTCTTTAACACCTAGTGTATGGTAATATATTATTTTATGATAAAATCTATTTTAAATCATTTTGGAGTGGCTGGGTGGTCGCTATTAGTAAATATTTGACCCATGTTGGTAAGATTGAATGTGCGCTACTGTATACTAACTACATTCAAAATCATTTAAAGTGCATAAAAATGACATTAGTAACAAAATAGGTATAGATCAACGCAAATCAAAAATAACGTTATTTCTTCACTTATATTTAACTTATTCCTTGACCAATAATTATTCCACAATTTATGACTACTATAAACTTTTTTTAATGACTCACATTTCTGCGTGTATCAAATTAAGAGTTTGTTGACATTTATCTATCTATTATAATGTCCAATCAGACAAGAGAACTGAAAAGTTTTACTCATAGTAACATCTTAGTTTCATTTCTACCTCTACATCGAGTCAATTTATTAAAGATTAGTTTGATACAACAGGCAATTTGATTTAACAAATACACAACCTTAATTTCCATGCATATTTTATATTCATTGTATAGTAACATAATTTTATTTATTTTGACATTTACGAGTATTAGCTCATTGTTTTCATATCACTTCTAATTAATGTTTTCCTATTGTGAATTAAATATACCATACTTATAACACATACAAATGTGACAATAATAATAAAATGTATTAAAAATATTAATCAGGGGTTTCAATCAAATTAATTTAAGTTTAGATTTATCGATACACCTCAACAATAAAATAAATACTTTTGTTATAATCACTGTATAATATACATTATATTATAATTATAAAAATTTCAGAAACTATGTTAGTAATATTTTTATTTACTATGACCATTATCTTTAATTTAAAGCATTTATATTTCATACATAATCTGTATTAAATCCGAATATTTATTACACCTATTATCAGGGGCGGATCCAGAGTTGGGGAACTATGGGTCAAGCCATTTTAAGAGGCCATTTATTAGGAATGAAACTGAATTAGAAATTAATACCTTGTAAAAAAAAAAAAAAACACAATATGCTCATAAAAGTGTATAAGTATATTTATATTACATTTTAGAATTAGTGATACCACCGGCAATAACTTATTTATGATTAATAAATATAATCTAATTTTATCAGCACAACAAACGTACGGAATAAAATATGATTTACTTAACTTTCTACTAAAACGATATAATTTAAAATATAAATTATGAATTGAAAAATTTTAAATTTTGAACATAAATGACATTCATTTTTTAAGTAACTCCGATGGGCAAACTGTCCAAGAGTCCAAATCAAGATCTAAAAAGAGAAAAAAATTTCCAAGAGGCCAATTTTGTCAACAAATATTAATTGTGGGTCAGCTGACCCCCTGAACCCCACCCTAGAACCGTCCCTGCCTATGATGTAATTTACTATTTCCATTTTATATGCAAGAATTAAACTCAAGGCTCATTTTTAATTAAGTTCCTACTCCAGTGATTACATAAAAGTTTATTCGACCCATATGCTTGTTAATGATCAAATGTTTACTATACTAGCTGAATAATTCATTGATTTCATTAATCCCCGCACCTGAACCACGAATCTTCCATCATTTCACATTTCATGTGTCATCTCCACAAATACCATATGAGATGATTAATTTCATATTTTAGACTTTTGATCCTTATTTTTTTTTTTCTTCAAAGAAACTCTATTAAAATATACATTACTGATTTACATGTAAATGTAGCTACGAATATATTATTTATTCTTGTTAAGATACAAAAGATTTATGACATAGTAATCATAATTGTATCCATGTTCTTTATAGGCCTCCAGAACCTTGTAATAATGAAATATTAATTGACTTCGAGCCCAAAGACCCACCGATTCGGAAAAGAAACAAAACTCTATTGCAGAAAACTGTGTCAGATGGTGAAATTTTAATAGGCGAGATAATAAGGAGTAGAAGTCGAGAAGACGTGGAAGCATCAGTGTCTGATGGTGAACAATGCTATAAAAATCTAGTAGCTTCTTCATGTGTAAGTATTTTTTTTTAAAAGTCATTTTTTTAATCTTAATATCGATAAATAATACGATTTAACATTATAAATATAATTTTAAAAATTAATACAAATTTAAAATATTCAAACACAAAGTAAAACTATTTAACAAACAAATATTTTTATTTTTGGAAAAAGATATTCTGTTGTCTATTTGTAATCTCTATCAATCTTAAATTTAGCTAATTGTATTAATTTATTATTAAATAAACTTTATGGTTTTGAGGGTAGTATGGTAAATAATCATTAATATTTACCTACGAAAATAATATATTACTTTCTATTATATCTTGAATTTGTACAACAATTTTCTAAATTCTACTAAAATATATATCCTCCATTGTAAAATTAAAATGTAGAAAAAAAAACTCATTAATAACCCATACTCTCGCCGTTTTTAAATTCACATCATTCAATGAAGTATCTGAGAAACTGTAAAATTTAACTTTTTTCACAAATAACTAATACATATATAATATAGATACAAATCAATATAAAATATTTTCTCATGAGTCATAAACTATCATATAATTTTTAAAATATATTTTAATTAATTATAATTCACAATTGTTATAAAAAATATAATTTTATTTACAGACTGCCGAAGGTTCTTTAGAAAATTTTCACGAAAACGAAATTATTCTTTGTGAAGGATTTTATAAATCTAAAAGTAATATTTGTTTATCCGACTCGCCAAGTACATATAGAGTTAAAACACCATCGTCTTCAAATGAACATGAACCAAGTGATTTATCCCAAGCTACTGTAAGTGTACTTCCATGAATACAAAACAGTTAAATAAAAATTAAATTAAACTAATTTTTAAATTCTGAGTATAGATAAAAGGATTGTTTTATTATAACATTGTTTTTCTTTTATACATACTGTGTAAAAGTAAATTTTACTCAATTTACAGTTCCAATTATTTTGACTTTGTGATTTATCTGACGATGAATATTTAATTCAAAACCGATCGTACAATACACATATCTTTATACTTCAGACAACACATTTTAGGCTATATGTAAACTGCGACCAAATTAACCTTTTTCTAAAAATTGATTTGTAAAGTGCGGCAAAAAAAATTTAAGATTTTACAATCTGCACCAAAACTCATAAGATACATTATATAAACTGCGCAATTACCTATATACCTACTATATATACAACTTATTATATTACCTAAATCATATATACCTACCTATGTGTACCTATGTACGTATATCGTTTAATTAATTATGAAATGTTGCGTCTTGCGTACAAAGTGGTATAGTAAATCCAAATATATTTTTAAGTTTTAACGAAACATATCGGTAATAACGGTTCCTTTATTTTTGATAATACTAGTTATAATATAACTAAACTTATATACTATATAAGTTGATACATATATAAAAAAATAAAATTGCAGAAGAAGGGATAATACAAAAATAAATAAAACGACAACGCAAAAATACAAATTTATCAACAAACAGCAACAAATGAAAGAAGATGGACAAATTTCAAGATATATATTTTTGAAAAAAATATATTTTAAAAATAAACAACAAAATATTAACTCTTAGCTACACGTGATCATTAAGGTCTCTTAAAATAATTTTTAATAATAATATTTTTCAATTTTAAAAATTGGTTTTTATTTATTTTTATGCCTAATTCTCTAAGAGTCTCTAGACTAATAGCTGTCATAACACATATTATTTCTAATTAAACGATAAACATATATGTAGGTTATCGTAACGATATATGTATATAGTATATATAGAAGATATATATAATAAATTGCCACAGTTTGTACAATGTATCTTATCGGGTTTGTTGCAGATTGTATAGGTAATCTTAATTTTTTTTTTTGCCGCAGCTTACATATCTTCTACATTTTATATTTATTTATTTATTTCTACATTTAATGTATACATAAATATATAGTTTATACTATATAATTATATATATATTACTCATTTTTATACATATATATTGTATGTTCCATTTCATTCTTAAAAATTTGTTTGATTTTTAAATTTTATAAGGTCTTCAGTTTATTTGTAGTGTATTATGAATTTATTAATTATGCTCGAAATGTAAATATCATAGATTACAGTGAAACTTACCGGGCATACTCGACTGTTTATGATTTTGTCCGCAATTTAAAGATGCCCACTATTCAGAGAGAAAAATGAAGTTCATTTCGTATGGCAATTAATAACTATACATGACATTTATTCAATGTAATAATGATATGATATATAAGTATATATTATTATATAAATTTATTTCTGTTTTTATACTTAACGCATAGAAATACACGACTAGTATACGTTTTTACTAATATCTCAATTTCATAAAACATGTGACTCGTGACGTTTCTGCAATCATTGATTCATATGAAATTAAAAAGTAGATACTTACTTTTTTTTAATAAATAGTTTAAACAGTTTATTGATTTCAATGGTATCAATTTCAAAACATTGGAAAATATTCAAACAGGTCTTGCAGTTTGAAAATGTATCTAAGAAAACTAAGCTGAAAGACGACTATCCGTGTGATGTAGTTCAAAAAAAAATTATAAGATACACCGATTTACCATTAAAATCTTCAGACTTAATCGAACAAGGAAATACTCATAGCAATGCATTAACTAATAGCCCCGTGGTCCTAGAGCCATCAGAAATTTCAACTTCTACTGAGGACTATGTAACAGCCACAGATAGTGCATCTTATACCACTACCCCTACTCAAGGTCCTTCAATTACAAGTAGTTCGTTCGACAGTGAGTCGTCCAAATATAGCTTGCCTCATCCTATTTTTGACCACGACGTAAGTGAATCAAAAGTGTAAAGCCCAAAGCTCTCTAACAAACATGGTAATTATTTTTAACAGACTGCAATTGATCCAACTGATCCGATTGATGAAGAACTTGGAGACGGTGAAGACTCAAGTGATGACGAAAGCAGTACTTCCGGAAGGTGATCATATTTGTGTTTTTCCTCCTTAAAATATCATTAAAAAAAAATGTATTTCTCAAACTTGTTACATTTATTAACACAAGTATTTCCATGTGTATTTTTTTTTTTTTACTTCATCAATAACATGCATGATAAGCACATATTTTCTGAACTTTTTACAAAACATACCTTTTACGTGCGCACACTTGGTAGTATAATTTACTCGGAATCAATAAATAAAAAAACAGCAAAATATAACATTCCGATAGTAGAATAAAAACTACCACTATTTTAGTTACAGCGTGAAGTGCAGTATAGAGGATAATAGGAGTTCTGCGTCATCAGACGAGAATACAAGAATAAGACCGAAATCCATCTTAAAATTGGCTAAGTGAGCACATCAACGATAGGTTGTAAACATTGTAATAAAGCAAAATTCTAGGCAAAGAAATAGAGCTTATTAGGGTCCGCTCGTTGCAGGTCGTTAAGCATAGAATACCTTAGGTCGATTGGAGGTCGAAGAATAACATACATTCAGAATACATTTGTACATACAAGAATTATATAAAGCTCATGAAAATGCATGCACCTATGTAGTTTAGATAGAGTCGAACTGAATTATCGCTTCCAATGCACTTTTCTATTGCTTTTGTTAATTTGTTTATACAATTAAACACATGTATAAAATTAACTATTTTTCACACAAATTATAATATAATTATAATTTTAGATCTATACCAAAAAGCAAGTCTATAAATGTAGAAGAACCGAATCCAAATAACTCAAATAGTCCTAATCTAACATCAAGTAATGACAAAGTAATTATTATTTTTTGATTTATATTAATATTCCAATTTACAGATAATCGTACTACAACCACAAGTCAAACAGATGTTCTTGACTCAAATTTAATTAAAGTAATGTCTATATCAATATTGTTTTCTATCAAATTTGCTTCGAATAGTTATGTTTTTAGAAATTGATGGGTAATGGCTTTGCGACTAAAATATCGGTACCTGTCTACTCTTCAGATGAATCTCTGAAAAGTGCAGAACAACGCAGAAGACCAAGTCCAAGACGAAAAAGTATAGGCGCTATGACATTTATTAAGTAAGTCATTAAATTTTATCTCTAATTTTTATTAACAATAAATTTGTGTACAGCTCTATCGATAAAAAAACTCCAGCAATAAATAAACCAGAAAAACGAAGAGAATCACTTCCAGAAATAAATTTACTTGGAACACCACAAAACGCTCTTGATAAAACGGAAAAATCAAAAACTGAATTTAACTTTGATGACAAACCTCAATGTACTTTATCATCAAAAGTATCTCAAATTACTTATTTATCTCAAACTAATAACTTAAACTTGAAGACAGTGAGTGCAGAGTCTTTGCGTTCTATTAGCCCAGGGAGTGATTCTGTTTTCTACAGTGATCCGTGCAATAGAGCGTCATTATCATCTAGATGTACGCGATGCAATAATGAGGTTGATATAGATTATGCTAACAACACAAACAATGAAGTCATAGACATTGTTAAGCCACCTGAAGGATTTGGTGATTCTCCAGAAGAACCCCCATCCACACCTTTAAGACAACTGACAAAACGATATCGGTCAGAAGAAAGAAAAAAAAATAATAGGTCAGAACACACTCGAGCAAAATCAGAAGAAAGAGTGAAAAATCACAGAGAAAGAGAAAGGTAAGTTAACGAACTATTAGATAAATAAAGTGAAGTATTACAATATAATGTATATTTAATCCTCAGGCCAATGACTAGATCTACTGATGTAAGTATGGAAAAATTAAATGGAAGCAGCTCTAGTCTTCATTCTGACGACGATGATTGGTCAGGTATCTACACAACACCATTTACTTCATTTTCGTGGGTATACATAGACGAAGTAGAAGAGTTTTATGTATGGAAGAAACCTTCTGATTTACCAGGTACCTATAAATTCAAAACATAATGTTATTGCATGTTTATAATAACCAGAATATTGTCTTTTATTTTTATAAATCCAGACATTAAGTGTTCACCGGTATTGCAACGAAGAGATTCTATTGAATCCACATGTTCAGAACATGAATTCCGAGTTAAATATCAGACAATCACGCACAGAATGGTACATAGAAAATCCAGTTTAGAAATGTTCAAAAGACTTGCTTCGAAATCATTTGGTATAATTGTGGTATAATACAGGTCCGAGTGTTTAATAAATGTTAACAGAGAATAAATGTTGACAGATAGTGACAAGCGCTTAATGGTAAAACGTGAATCTGGAGAATTTGGTTTTCGCATTCATGGAGCAAAACCAGTAGTAGTATCCGCTATTGAAACGGGAACGGCCGCAGAAAATTCTGGTCTCAAAGTAGGTGACATAATCATCAGCATCAATGACATGTGCGTCCTTGACGCATCACACTCGGAATTTGTCAACGTAGCGCACAGTGGTTCCGATGTCTTGGAACTAGAAGTAGCCAGAACCTGTGATATATTAACGCCACAAATCGATCCCTCTGTGATTGACAAACGCATTGTCTTAGCAAGTATACTCTGGAAATTTAGCATCGGAACAAAAAAAATGAAAAACTGCTGGCAACCCAGATATTTTTGTCTTAAGACCGACAATTGTCTCTACTACTATAAGTCAGCGTCTTTGAAACGAGTACGTTTAACATTGTTTACGACTTCGTTACATTAATATTTATTACATATTTTTAACAATTACCATACCTTTAGGATAGACATCCTTTGGGAGCACTTAATCTCAAAGGAATCACCGTAGTCAAGACATCGGAAACGGGGAGACTGTACAGCTTTCGCTTGGAAAGGAAAGACCACAAGAAAACCAGATTACACATAGCTGCAAATAGTGCAGAAAATGCTGAACGATGGATCGAAGCAATTAGCGAAGCCACCAAATGTCAAGTAAGTACACAATCGAACATCAAAAACGTTACATAAGATTAGGAATGTGAGTGAGATCTAAATGTTTGCACTCTCTATAGTCGATGGAATGGCTCAATGAAAATAATCTAAAATCCGTGGTCACTATCGATCCGGAATCGGACTGCCAGGGTTTCCTCTCCACGTTAGTACACCACTGTGGAAAATCATGGAAGAAGTATTATTGTGTTCTCAAAGATGCTAGACTGTACTTTTTTGTAGATAGCGTGACCCGATTCGCTAACGGTGATTATTACATTCATTTTCTTCATAAAAAGAACACCACATATACGTTCGATATGACAGTTTTTGGAAATTTTACAGGTATGGCTTGTCTGCATGGTTACAAAGTACAGAGTTCCGTCAACGCTAGCATACGAAAATTTGCGTTCGAGCTTATACCACCCGATTTGTCGTTCAGATATTTTTATTTTTATACCGATACTGAAGTGGACAAAAAAAAGTATAGCAGAACAATTCAATTATTTAGTAAAGACTTGATATTCGTTGTGTTTTTTACATCAATGTTTGTTTCCCGTTTTTTCAGATGGATAGCTGCTCTAGAGTACAGTATAGAACGATGGATAAATGTTTCATGATAAAAATAGTTAAACCATTTATTTACATTTCCATCGAATCAATTACATTTATGTAAGTCATGCATAACTTGAACATTTTATTTTTACTAATATTTCTGCAATCATATTAGATTTGTATAAACACAGTATAAAAAACAAAATTAGTAAACACTCTCAAATTAATTAAAATAAATCCAGTCTAATACTAGAATTTTTTTTTGATATTAACTAGCATTTAATTATATACATTAAAAATAAATTAAAAATTCCGGAAGTTCAAAGTTCCCAGAAATATGATAAAATGTTTAACATTTTTAAAAATGTCTCTAAACGAGCTTAAACTATAATTCTGGCCGTAGATCTTATTATAGTTTAAACTCAATTTTCCAGAATAAAATAGTTCTGAATCAACTATTCATTATAACTTTAAAAAATACATAATTTGTTTTAAATCTATTTGGAATAGGATGAAATTAGATTTTCAAATTAAGTGTTTTTGTTTCAGAAATACCCTTTTTAGGTTAATAAAAGCTTCAATAATATTATATATCTCAATAATCAAAAATTGTATATCCGATATTTTAACTCTTATTTGAAAAATCATGAAATTATGGTACAACAAATTCAAATTTCAATTATATTCGAATAAATTTAGGTTTACTTGAACGATTTTTAAAATGCAACATGTGTGCTAAAAATATAAAATTAACTTTGTAATACTACAATTGAATAAAACGATTTTATTATATGGCCTCTAGATTTATTCTTACAATTATTTTACATTAATTACATCCATTATTTTTTTTTTTTTACTCATTCATACATTCCCATTGTACATAAATAACTTTGAAACGGTGTAGTTAATCTTCGTATTTTACTAGTATCACTGTACAATAAATAACATTATGTTTACATAAAATCATCAGGACCATAATGTCATTTAAAATATACGAAGAATGTCAGTACTTTAAACGCAATTAAAAATAAATCATTAAATACTCAATTATTTATAATCATTTATATCACTAATAAAAATGTGTGAATATCTCATACATAGACTATTAAATACAAACATTTATTTAAATTATGAGTGAATAGAATATACTCGTATTAGGTCAATTTTGGACAATGTTTTGATTATATGGTGACCATATAGTAGATCAGTTATTGACAGTATCGAACGTGTCCAAAATCGTTTTTTTTGTTTTAATTTCTTTCTTATAAAATTAACACACCCGTAGAAAACGATAATTACAGTCCAATCAGATCGCATTTTATTCAAACTTTAATCAATAGATATTTCAACTCTCCTTCCTTACTAAATTTTATTTAAATGTTCCTTCATACAATAGCCGCTCAATCTCTTTTATATACAACGTTACAGCACAAACTACCTGACTAACTCACCCTTTCCAAGAGCACTGTCTCTTCGTAACAAAAACTCCAACTTTTCTTTACGCCTATATTAAAAATGTTATTCACATTGTACCAAACATCAATATTATCTAATTTCTAATCTGTAATCACTAATTTATTGTTTATTATTTTGTTTAAATATCTATATAATATATATTTTCATATTCTGTGTATAACATCTATATGTTACAATGTGCATTATTTTAAATATAACTAAATTGTACCACTAATCTTCAGCTGATTTTTATTAATTTATTTTGATAAAATATTATTATTATTATTATTATTATTATTATTATTACTATTGTAATGTTTCCTTCTATAAAACAAGCAATATCATTGGTTTAATAGCTATGGTTAGTCTATGGACGTGCTTGGAGGGGAGAGTCAAATCCCACCCTCAGAATTTCAACGAATTCAGAAAAAAATGAATACTTAATATTTTAGACAAATTTAGACAATTTTAGTTTAATATTATAAACCTTTGTTATCAGTGGCGTATTTAAAAACTTTTTTTTGAGGAGGGGGGTGTCATACCTAATAGTGAAATAATTTTATAAATTAATATAAAATGTTCTTTATCAACTTATTGTTAGGTTTTTTATTAACTTATTGAAATCAAACTATTGACAAACTACTCTAACAAAATTACAAATTATATTATAAATTCTATTTTTCGTTTTTTTATTTGACAAATCATCAATAACTTCATCGGTTTGAAAATCTAAATCTCGATTAATCGATAGCATGACAAAGACGTCGACATATTGACCGATAATTTCCTCACATCAGATTATTTATATACCATGTGTCTGCGGTCGATTGTTATTATTATTATCAAATTTATAAAAAATGTTTTCTTTAATTATACTTTAATACTCAATTAAATAAACAAACTAAAATTATTATGTTACTGATATGTTTAAAATTTGACGTTTTCAATTTTTTTTTTTGGGGGGGCCACCCTCCACTGCCATAAATACGCCACTGTTTACTATGGTTATTTATATAATCCATTGTCGATCATGGTACTATAAAATGAATTACCAAAATTATTATTTTGTGAAATAAATACATTTTAAATACGTGGTAGTTAAAATATTGAACCCTCCTCTCCCCCAAAAAAAATGTTTAGGTAAGCCTCTGGGTAGATAATATAATTTTATAAAGGGTGGTCCTCTGGTGATGATGGTGGAGAAACAAAAAAAAACAAGCAGGTACGATGTTAATTCACCGACGGTCACAAGCAGAAGGTTGGTGACTTCAGGCGATCGGTCGGTACGTTGCCACCGGTTCCGATAACTTTTCCCACCTCTGCCCGGTTTTCCGAGGTAAGTGGGTAGTATCGGAAACGGTGTTGTCGTTGCCTCGGTTGAGGCTGGGTAGAGAGCGGGCGCGGCTCCACGATAGTGGTGTACTTATTGTACCTGCACCACAGCGGGACCGCATCAATTGTTCCTGAAATGATCTCCCACTTTTACTTTTTGACAACATTTATTAAAAAATATAACCTTTGAATTATTATAAATATAACACTCACCAAAAATGAAAACTGCCAAAACGATACATTCAGACTAAGCAAAGACAACGATAAAATTTAACATATGAAACATATTCGATTCGACGAATGAGTAATGACTAACGGTAGCCGTGGACCAGGGGCGTATTTATAGGAGGAGGTCCCCTCCGAAAGAAAAAACACCATTGTTAAAGATTGTTATTTTTAACATGTATACCAATGTTTTAATGCTAAGAGTTTCCGAAAATTTGTCGCGACACTGAGAATGTTGCTTATGTGATAATTTAAAATTTTATATTTATAAAATATATTTATTCTTTTAAGAAAATATGTGGTGAATTTTGAGTGACTCTAATTAAAAATGTGTTTATTATAATGTAATTTTTATATTTTTAAAAAATAATAAATCATTAAAAAAAATTGAGTTTCTTATTTCTCTGATAGTGTAAAGACAGTCGAGAAGTCTTAATGTGAAGTGTTAATTTTTTCGTAATAGTGTGCTTCCTCCTTCCCTTCCATCTAAAAATCAAATACATAATCGGCCCCCTCCGAAATGAAAATCTATATACGCTAATGCTATGGACCAGTTTTACACATTCAAAACAGTTTTTACTCCCTGCCTACCATACAACACAACACATACTGGAGCTAATGGTTCTAGTAACCAAAACACTTATTAAAACTAATACAAAAAAAAATGTACATGCCTTTGATTTAGTAAGTATTACAAAAATCAAATAAAAACATTCAAATAAACGAAATGGCTTATCCTTTTTACTATTCATCTGAAATTAATTTAAATCTGATATTTATCAATAAGGTATTCATTATTACTTTATTACAATCTTACATTATTATATTATAACTTTATTATTGAACATCGAAATTTTTTTTCTTGTAAAAGTACTGTTTAAACTCACAATTTATCCATCATAATATTGAGTAGTAATCAAGAAAAAATTTTAATAATAATTTACTACTAGAAAATTAAACACATAATAATATTTTTTTAATTTTTAAGTTTGAAGTAATAGGTATGAGCACAAATTCTAACCGTTAAATTACTCTAATACATTTGAAGATAAGTAATATGCCACAATACGAATATTTTTTCAGTATAAAATTTGTTTATAGGTAACCAACCTTTTTGATTTTAGAATTTTAATTTTTTTTATGATTTTCATGGTTCGAATAGGTATCAAAAAAAGTACAAAAAAAAATAATTCATAAAAACACTTAAGTACTGTTCGTTATTGGGATATCATAAAAAACTAATAATATACATACATACATTTATATCATCACATTTTTATAATATAAATTATGAATTACATGGTTTTTAATTTCATATTTTTTTTCAGGGCTGTAAAATGAAGCCGGCTTGTGATATCATTATTAAATTTATTTTTGGACCATTACAACAACATAAACAACGTATAAAGATTTACTTTTATTTAATAATACATTAATAGTTTTTATTTATAATTAGTTTATGGCAAAAATATATTTTATCTATATTTGATCGAGTTACGTTTACGTAGCTAGTCTTTTCTTAGTATCTGTTTTAATTTCAGAACATCGAGTTTAATGCCCATATTATGTGCTTTTCAATTGTCATTAGTTTTAATTAGCACATAATATGTTATGTTTTAAGTCTAACACACCAAAATACAAATTGCATAACATTTAGTAGATGTTATAAATATATTTTGTTTAAAAATAAAAATAAAAAAACGTAAGATGTAAACTTGTGAATTCTAACTTTAATTAATTTATTATATTGTTATTATTACTATTATTATTATTTTTAATGTGTATATAGAATAGAAAGTAATATTTACTGTTCAATTGGATTTTTTAGAACATATTAATATTATTTTTTGGTAAATAATTGTTCCGGGGTGCTTTAATATCAAATAATTTTCGAATAATAAAGTAACTTTATTAAAGTTAAATAAAAAGAAAATCCAAACAGAAACCATAACAGGAGACAACAAAACAATGGTATATAAGTACACATATTTTATGTTTTTAATTAAGGTATCATTGGTTGTTCCTAATTTGAAATAATATGTCAATTTCTAAATACGATTACTGCACTTAGCGTTTTATTGTCTCACATATTATACATATTACGAATTGAACACTATACATATTTATTAACTTATAACATACGAGTAGATGAGTTTTCATTAAAATAGCTAGAATTATAATTATACATTGTCCACAGGGTGATTTGAAAATCAGTCGATATCTTAGACTCGTTATGTTGTTATAGAATTTTAGTAGCTGAATATAATATTCCTCTTATATAAAAATCTGTATTTGCGATCATTCTGTTGTAATAACAAAAATGACCACAATGTAGCTAATTTAAATATCTCTCAATTTGTTTTTAATAATACTGTATCGATTTCTCAAATTTTATATTTGAATAATTCATCATACTCATTATGTATATTAATTTTTAGTTATGACTACTTTATACGAGTCATTATTTTTAGAGTTACCTACTTTAGTATGTTAAATACAAAATTGACTGAACGGTAAATCAATGTTTCAAACATATTTTTTAAATTATAACTTTTATGTTAATATTATTACAATTATTATAACTATAAGCATTTGTATAAATATTTAATCAATGCTATTAGGTATTACTATTAATTATTATTACTATTATTATTATAATAATAATAAGTATTATTATTATTGTTGTTGTTATTATTATTATTATTATTACTATTATTATTATTATTATTATTATTATTATTATTATTATTATTATTA